ATAATAATGGCTTTCTGATACAAGTCCTACTATTTAATCCATAGCTGGGAAAAGATGTGGATTCATACCTCACCAAATGGCATTTGCACGTAAGTGAATATAACGAACCGGAGTGGTATTCGAACTCGGCTCTCCGAATCCTCATTTCGAGCGGTTTTTCATTACACCACCCGCACATCCAAGCTTATATCACCTGGTATTCCCAAGCCGTCACCCATCTAGGTACTGACTAGGTTCGACGTTTGTTAACATCGGTTATCGGACGAGAACCGTTGTTGCAACGTGATATATCCATAAGAACCTGATCTGATAGAAATCTTGTCCTGGGTGAAACAATAAACTACATCCGCGTCCTGGGTAAGACAATAAACTACATCCGATAGCAAAGCCTTTGATCAAGAGGATCTTGAGGAATATGGAGCCACCTCTTAATTGCTGGTGTTCCCAGGGCCCCCCTCCCCTGACCCGGGGTGGTAGCACCAGTCAGGGTTCCAGCTATGGGCAAATAGTTAACTCCCCACAAAAGGAGTGAAAACACTATGTAAGTATAAAAATATGTTTTAATACAAGCAATACTTTTTGCAAAAATTATTACCAGTAGTACATTTTTTTAAAAAAATACTAGCAGCAATACATTTTTTGAAAAAATATTACCAGCAATAAAAAAACTTGTCGGCATTAAATAACTCATTGTGGTGTTGGTATGCCGAAAACCAAACCATTCTGAAAGAGACCGTTTGAAAAATATTCTATCAATCCGCAAAAAAAGATACAAAAAGGAAAGAAAAAAAGCTTCTTTTTTTTATCTGTCACCACAAAAGCCAAATCAATTAATCAAGGGAAATAACCCTAGTTGATGCCTTTGAATTCACTCCCAAGTCTACTGAGCAAGAGAAAAATATGATAACTTTAAACACCTTTTTTTTTTCTCTTTCTCTCCTACCGTTCATTCATTATATCCTTCATCCTTTCTATCCATCGCTCATTCTGAGTATGACGATAAACTACATCCGGCAGCAAGGCTTCTTGTGGAGGTTCTGAGGCACGTCGAAGCACCCCTTAATTGCTGTTTTTATCAGGTCTATCCTTACCCGGGGTGGTAACGCTTGTTAGAGTCCTAACTATGGGAAAATAGTGAACCCCCACCGAAAAAAAATCAACAGTACATTTTACAGTAAATTTACCAACAATACATTTTATGATCTAAAAATATATATATCTAAAAACACCGAAAGTATAAATTATGCACAAAATATCAGTAGTTAAAAGCATAAAATTACGTGCAAAATATTTAAATTTCGGCATTAAATAACCCATAGAGGTGTTGATATACCGCCAAACAAAATCAAACAATCAACATGAAAGAACTTAATCTATATAATATCTTACAATTTCTTAAAGAAATCAAACTGTATTCCAAAATATAACTTCAACATAAAACACACATAACACCGCCTTTATCAATCATATCCACACAAACATATATATTCACAAAAGCTGAGTATCATCTACCATGTATTCAATTGTGAAAGTAGAATAATATATATCAAATTTTTATTACTTCAAACCTCAAATTTAATTTTGGAATTTAATGACCTATATGGAATTGATATGCCGTTAAACAAACCATTTAATCAATCCTTCTATCCATCGCTTATTTTCTCTCTTACCATTCTCTCATTATTATATCTTTCACTCTTTCCATCTCTCTTTTCTCCTTGCCACTGACTTATCTTTCTTCATCTTTTTTTCTGTCCCCCTCTCTTCTCTTGTCATTCATTCACTATTCCTCCTCTTTTCTCTTTCGTTTCCCTCTTTCGACATCTATCGAGGTACCAAAAAGGAAAGCAAGAACATTTTTTCCATTGAAACATGACACAGTGCACAAGTTAGTACTTCGTATGTCCATTCTACGAAGTCGTTCCTTGCAGATTGACCACAGATTCTTGATTGGATTTAAATCAGGAGACTTTCCGTGCCAGTCTATAGTACTTTGATTTACTCACTGGTAAGGCTTACCAGTGTGTTCGTGCAGAGTTACAATTTCCGTACGCTTCTTTGGAGTAACGTCCATAGTAAGTTATTTGGTTGGTTGATTTTGTTTGGCGGTTTATCAACCTTAATGGGTTATATAATGCCGAAATTTAAATATTTTAAAATGACGAGTTACTTTTCAATCACCTTGTTTATATGCACAACCTTGTGCAATTTAATTGAAACAAAATGAATAATTCCGTTATTATTTACTTTTTTTGTAATTTTCCAATCAAATATGACTCAGTGCACATGTTAGTACTTCGTATGTCCATTCCATGAAGTCGTTCCTTGCAGATTGATCACAGATTCTCGATTGGATTTAAATCAGGTGAGTTTCCGGGCCAGTCTATAGTACATTGATTTCTTCACTGGTAACACTTGCCAGTGTATTCGTGCAGCATTACAATTTTCGCATGCGCTCCTTGGTGTAACGTCCATCGCAGACAATAGCCATAGGACAACTAATCGACAGTCTAGACAATGGTGTCTGTGCGTGATAAAAATCCGATGAAACGGAGTGGCTCTTGCAGCGTGTCTCACTGGCCATGGTGCGAGGTAATGCTTTCTCCATCATTGCGGCTGGCAGAGGATAGAAAAAATTGTTTATAGTTACGTTGTTCTGGAATTGTCATCAATGGTCAACTGAACTTGTTTTGTTTCAATAAATTTTCTTAAGATTAACAAAATATATAAATAATGCCCTCAAGAAATTCGTTGCTTTACAATTAATTAAAACAAAACGAATAATTCCGTTAATTTTTTTTTTGTATTTTCCCAATGAAACATGACCCAGTGCACAAGTTAGTACTTCGTGTATCCATTCCAAGAAATCGTTCCTTGAAGATTGACCACAGATTCTCAATTAGATTTAAATCAGGAGACATTCCGTGCCAGTCTATAGTACATTGATTTGCTCACTGGTAACAGTTGCCAGCGTGTTCGTGCAGCATTAGAATTTTCGTACGCTTCCTTGGAGTAACGTCCATAGTTAGTTATTTGGTTGGTTGATTTTGTTTGGCGGTTTATCAAACTCTGAGTTATTTAATGCCGAAATCTTAATATTTTGCGCGTAATTTTATGCTTTTAACTACAGATATTTTGTACGTAATTTATACTTTCGGTGTTTTTTAGATCGTAAAATGTATTGTTGATGAATTTACAATAAAAATGTACTGTTGATTTTTTTGGGGGAGGGGGGCATCGTAGGACAACTAATCGACAGTCTAGACACAAGTGGCTGGGCGTGATAAAAATTTGATGCAATCACGGATTGTTTTTAAGGCCAAGCAATTTTCATCATACACACCGAAAATAGATTCATTTTACTGCACGCCACTGCAAATCACCTAATCTGAGGAAAAATCGATTAAACCCTGTCACTCCAGTGGGTCTAAAACCGACCGTAGGGTGAAAGAAAGGAAACTAAAGCGGTTGTTTCAATTAATTTGCACAAGGGTGTATGCTCAGGTTTTATTAAAATACTAATCATCGCTTTTTAAAACACTGTCGGGAAGTTAAAATAATAGCGGTGTAAAAGGAAAAACAATCCTTTTGACACTTCGTCTTTTAGCGGATACGAAGTTTAAGGGTTATCGAAACGTCATTCAGCAAGTTTTTTTAATTTTTTTTTAAAGTATTTCACCCCAAGCAAGGCGGGAGGCCACTAGCACGCAAGGGGTTACAGAGGATTTGGAGCGAGAGCAGATAGGAATGATAGAGGAAAGGAAGAGGAGAAGAATAGTGGATCGATCAAGGCAACTGGAGATGTCGATTGATATTACATTTGAATAATTGGAGATTAAAGCAAGGAAACAGGAAAAAGGGAGGAAATTCCACAGGCGAGAGGTGCGAGATATGAAGCTATTGGAGTAGAAGAGACGGCTACATTTAACAGTTTCAACAGTGAAAGTGTGAGATCGGGAGTCCAGCCTCGTAGGACGCTTGAATTCGCGAAGTCTGGGAACCAGCGAAAGCAGCTCATCGGAGCAATTACCATGAAAGTATTTGTAAAATAGACAGAGAGAGGCGACGGCACGTCTGTGAGAGAGCGACTGCAGACAAGATGCCAGATCAGGGCCAATTACATTGCATATCCGTCTCTGGATCTTATCAAGAACCCTGAGACAAACAGAAGGGGCTCCAGACCATATATAGCAGCAATACTCCATGCAAGGGCGAATGGTTGATTTGTAGATTTGAAGGATCGACTCCGGCCAGAAAAATTTCCTGGCGTGGCACAGGGAGCCAACTTTCCTTGCTGTGGACGAAGCTATTGACTCAATGTATTTGTTCCATCTCAGGTACAGTTTAAAATTGATAAAATCTACGATAACCTAGAAATATGTATTATATTCGCTTACGTGAAAATCTTTCCTCGGCCAATTAAAATAATCGTGACTTTTGACTGAACTTATATTGTCGCTCGAGCCATAAAATAAAGGAACACAATGACGCAGCGTTTTTATGAGTATACAAACGCTAAGAAATAATGTGCCAATTCTAACGCAATAATTGCCACTTTTCTGTCTTTGTGTAACAAATTGTCTGGTTATAGTTTTACTATTCCTTTAAATAAGTGTTTTTTTCTCGCTTATCCGAGAGAACAAAGTAAAGAAAAAAGGCTGCTCACAAACGTATTCGACCGTATGATTCTTGTTGAACAGTGGAAAATCACTTGTGAGAAGGTAGTTGTTCTTCGATGAGAAACCTTGGCTTTTATCTCGCTGCATTCGAACAACTTCGTCTCTTCAGACTCAGCGAATATAATTAGAATAAAAAGGTTCTTTCTCACGCTTTTCTCCCACCATTTGCTCATTAACTTCTTTTTTTTTCTCAAGATGGAATTTTCATATCCCAGGCCACCTTTTATTTAGTCTCAGTGGACAGAAACAAACAATCGATTTTCGATTACGCTCTCTCAATAAAGGCGCTGTCACAATAACCTAATTTCTAATTGATTCGGT